AGACCAGGACCACATCCCACCTGTGAGTGGCTGCGGAACTGATGGGGCCCTGCCTGGGCGCTCACGCACTTCGGGGCGGCGGTGTGTCCTGATAGGGAGGGAGGTAGGAGGCTGTTGGGAGGCCACCAAGACCTCAGGGAGTGGTGAGCAGGAGTTGGATTTTCCAGGCAGAAGGTACACAGGGAGGGAGGCTCCTGGACAGAACCAGGGTGGTGGTTTTCCCAGCTCTATGCTCTTGGCATCCAGGGCCCGTCCTTTGCTAAAAGCATCGGTGTTTGGGTCTCTCAAGTGCCCTTCCTTGCCCACCTCTTCCAGAAAGCAGTGCATTGAGTTGGAGCAGCAGTTTGACTTCTTGAAGGACTTGGTGGCATCTGTGCCTGACATGCAGGGAGACGGAGAAGACAACCACATGGATGGGGACAAGGGTGCTCGCAGGTATGGGGGCCAAGGCCTGGTCTACAGGTGGGGAAGGCTGAGGCCACAGGGGCTGGAGGTGACTGGAGGGTGGCCAAAGAGGCAGAAGACCTTTGGACAAATGGCCTGTACTTTCTCAAAGGGGTCGGAAGCCAGGCAGCAGTGCCCGGAAGAATGGCGGAATGGGAAGCAAAGGCAAGGACAAGAAGTTGTCGGGGACAGACTCAGAGCAGGAGGTGAGTAAGACCTCCAACCTTCCATCTTGCTCTGTGGTGATAGAAAAGGCACCTTGTATCAGGCTGAGCTAGGTGGAGGCCTGGTCCCATTCTTATCTGTGACCTCTGTGCACCCTGGTTTCTTTGTTTCTGAATTAGGGATATGGGGGTCTGCTGCCCCTTTCACTCCCAGGAATGAGACTTCCTAGTGATGGGCCCATACCTTGTCAACTCTGACCCTTGCTGTATTCACAGGATGAGTCTGAGGATACAGATTCTGATGGGGAAGAGGAAGCAGCGCAGCCCCCACCCCAGGCCAGCCATCCCCCTGCTCATTTTCAGAGGTAAGCATCCCAGTGGCACCAGGAGGGTACTACAGACTCCCCAAGGATGGCTTTCCCTCCTATGGTCCCTGGCCACTTGGTTTTGGTGCTGGTGGCAGGTTGGGGGATGGGAGGAGATTAACCAAGGTGGGCTTAAGGGCAGGAAACTGTTTACTGGGAAGATCTTGTGCCTACCACCCAGCAGGGGCCGTATAACCTGCTCTGGGCTCTTCCTTTCTCTGGGGTTTGGCTGCCTGTTGGCACCAAGGGTGGTGAGCTACACAGCTGCCTCCAGAGGGTAGGGACAGGCTCAAGGGGCAGGATGGACACCAGAGGGTGTCTTGATTTTTCTCTCATACTTTCTTTCCATAGCCCTCCGACACCCTTCATGCCCTTTGCCTCGACTCTGCCTTTGCCTCCTGCACCTCCAGGCCCCTCAGCGCCTGACATGGAGGATGAAGAGGATTATGACTCCTAGCGTCCTCTGCCCCCCAGGCCATACCCCCTTTTGGTTGGTTTTAGATGCTCTGGGGGGAAAGAAGGTAGAGCTGTTCTTAAATTTATTAAAAAAAAGTAATGAAAGGAAATGTCGGTGTCTGACCCAGCCTCTGTTCAGGGCTTTGTGGCCATTTTCTCATCCACTTACCTGCCTGTGCCACACTGCTGGGCCCAGGGTTGGTGGCAGGCCAGGCAGTGGCTGAGAGAAGGGAGAGGTTGACTGGGGAGGCTGGAGATCAGCTCTGCCAGGGCAGCAGCAGGGGTACTGATGGAGGGGAGTGGGGAGGAGACCAGGGTCTGAGCTAGCAGGTCCTAGATATACTGGGGCATCATATTTCATTGTGCTGTGTGGCCGTGGGCATGTCCCTCCCCTTCTCTGAGTGGCCTCTTCTTGTCTGGTGGAGATCATTCTGCTCTCTCTGGGCTGCTGTGAAGGGATGAGTGAGACAAGTAACAGGAACAGGTCTTGAAAACTGTAGAGCTTTGTGCCCGACGTGAGGAAGGGTATGTGGGAAGGAGCAGCGGGAGCAGAAGTAGGCGAGATTGTGGAGGACCTTGAAGATGGCTTTTGAGCAGGACAGTGACATGGTTAGTCCATTCATGTGCATTCCTGGGTAGACTCTGGGGCGAACGGTGCCCATGGGGTACATGCACACTTTCAGGGAACATCAGCTTGGGGAGGGCTGTTTGAGCCATGCAGGGCCTCATAGGGCAAGCAGTCTTCCAGTCCTAAAGGTCTAGAGCCAGGAGACTGATTCCATCTTTTTTTTTTTTTTAAGATTTATTTATTCTGGGAGCTGGCAGGTGTGGTTCAGGTTGCTGGATTCCCACATGGCCGACTGTGGGACTGGCAGGTGTGGTTCAGGTTGCTGGACTCCCACATGGCCGACTGTGGTTCTAGTCTCTGACCTGACAGCTTGCTTTCTCGCTTTCTCTCTCTCTCTCTCTCTGGTCAAATTAAAATGAGCAAATAAAGTTCAATGAAAAAAGATTACATATATTAAAAAGATTGATTTTTAATTTAATTATTTATTATTTTTTGCTTTTGACCAGATAGTGATAGGCAGAGAGAAAGGGAGAGTGAGAAAGCAAGCCACTAGCTCCAGGGCTTGAATCATGGTTGGTCATGTGGGAATCCAGTGCCTTAACCACCATGCCATCTGCTGACCCCTCCATATGGCACTGACAAGTTTTCTGAATTCCTGGGCAGAGGCATCTATGGGCTTTGGCAGCAGCAGGGAACCCTCTCAGGAGCCCAAGTGAGGATCATGGCAGCCAGAGCAGAGAGAGGCGGGAGCAGGGAGAGCGGTGGGCCAACGCTGGGTCTGTTCTGGTCTTAGCCTTGAGAGCTGGTGAGAGAACTGGCTAGCCATGACGCTGAGAAAGGGAATCACTAAGGTTGATTTCCAGATTTTCTTCAGCAACTGGTAGGGGTAGGGCCCCCTCACCTAGCTGGGGATACAGGATGGACAGCAGGATCTGGCCTGAAGCCCAGCTCTTTGACTGCAATGCATTTGAGGTGCCAATAGGAGGTGTTGAGTGGGTGTGTGGATGTAGGAACCTCAAGACAGGTGCGTGAATCCTGAGAGCTGCTTATCTCACTCGGGAAAGGGGAGGATCTGAGACAGTCCACCAAGTAAGACAAGAGCAGCAGCTGAACCCAGGGCCACCCAGGAGCCACCAGTGGTGCCCACCTGGGAATGTCTTGAAGGAGAGAGGTCAGCTATCCAGTGCCTCCAACAAAGCAGTGTCAGGACAGCTGACAATGCTGACAGCTATAGGGAAGTCAGCCTTGGGGAGTCTGCTGGTTCCTGGTCAGCCGTTAGATGCTTCCAACAGGGCGTTGTGGGTGGCCAGTGTCAGCTTGGCTTGAGCCAGTTTGGGGCCTTGGTGGTAGTTGATGAGGGTGGGGAGCCTGGAGGTGAGAAACTCAGGCCTCACAGAAGCCATGCTCTGTCTCTCTTTCTGTCTCTGTCTATCTGGTGAGCGTACGCACCTTTGAGCAAAAACCTCTCAAAAAAAAAAAAAAGATGTCAGAAATACAGTCTTTGTGGTCAGCAGGTGGTATTATGGTTAAGGACTTCCATGTGGTTGACTGAGGTTCAATTCCTAGACCTGGTGGCTTCAAACTCATACCGGGCATGTGTGTGTATGTGCCCAAAATCCCAAGAGGAGAGTGCAGAAGGGATTGCTATGTGGCCATCCTCCCTTGGGGGATGATTTCTTGCTTTCTGTCTCTCTGTATCTCTGATGAGTGAATGTGCCCTACAGCAAAAATATCCCTCTCCAAAAAAGTAAAAAAAAGGGACCAGCCCTTGGCGTAATGGCTATGTCGCTGGACTCCCATGTAGTCGATGGCGGTTTGAGTCCTTGGCCTGGGGGGTTAAACTCATGCTGGGTGCATGTGCATGCGTGCCTAAGATCCTGAGAGGAAAATGGAGGAGAAGGGATTATAGCATGGCCATCCCCCTTGGGGGATGATTTCTCACTTTCTGTCTCTGTTTTTTTGAGAGGTTTTTGCTATAGGGCACATGCACTTGCCAGAAAGACAGAGACAGAAAGTGAGAAATCACCCCCTGGGGGGGATGGCCACACTGCAGTCCCTTCTCTTCCATTCTCCTCTCAGGATCTTGGGCATGCACGCACACGTGCCCAGCGTGGTTTAAGCCATCGGGTCCAGGATTCGAACTGCGGTCAACTACATGGGAGTCCAGTGACATAGCCATTATGCTAATTGTTGGTCCCTTTGTCTCTCTTTCTGGTGAGATCACGCATCCTATAGCAAAAATCTCTCCAAAAAAGAGAAACAAACTTTTAGAGAGGGACCAAAGGAACAGGAGGGCGCAGAATTGGTGCATTGAGGTGGAGGACCTGAGGCAGACCCCCCACCTGACAAGGGAGAGGGGATGAATGGGTCTTGGTAGGGGGATTGAGGTATTTTGTTTTTGCCTGTTGGTGCCTGGCTGTCATGCAGGAGGCAAGGCTGCCTGCCCTGAGTGTGGGGGCCAGAAAGAGGATGAGTTCAGTCAGCAGCTGAGAGTAGCGGGAGAGCTGGTGACTTCAGGCGTGGTGTGGGGTGAGTAGCTGTGGGAGCTGGAGGCTGGGGCGTCTGGCCCCGTCTGCCTCTCCTCGGCTCCCTGTGGTAGTAATGCTCCCCTTTCCTTCTGTACCTGTCTCTGCTCTGCACTGTGTTTCCTGTGGCTGACTCCACGCCTGGCCCCTCACAGCAGCGCAGCGCTGTCAGTGGTTGGTGCAGGGTGGGGCTGTGACCCAGCTTGCCCTAGCCCTGGGACTTTAGGAAGGACTCCTGGGAAGGGTTTGAACAAGATCTCTGATAAAGATGACAGTGGCGGCTGCACTGGAGTTACAGAGCTGGTGGGACAGTGTGGGCCAGGAGTGTCTGGAGGCCACTTCCCACCCCCAGGAGTGACTCTGCCTGAGAAGGAAGCCAGTATAGGCAGCCGAGTCAGGACGTTCCGAGACAGATTGCTGAGGGCATCTGAACGTGTGGGTCCAGGCGGGCTGAGGCCTGTGCACTTCAGACTCCTCGGTCATGCGAGTCAGTGAACATGTCTAAGCTAGTTGGGTTTCCATCACTCAGAACTAAAAGAGTGCCTGTTGACATGGGGTCCACGAAGCAGAGGTGGCTCCTATGGGCCCAGGAGTAGGCTGGGGGCAGACTCAGGGAAGGTGGACATTTGGGGTCACCGGAGCAGAGGTCATGTCCAGTGGTGTGAGGAGTGGGAATGGAGAGGAAGAGGCTCCTGGGAGCCTGTTGCTATGGTCCACACTCGCAGGGTGCGAGTGTGGTCTGAGAGGGTGTAGAGTGGTGGCTGGGGAAGGTGAGGAGGCCACCCCCCAGGGGGTGCTTTCTCACCTCCCCCCTCCTCCCTGCCCCACAGCACACATGTATAGCAAATTAAAGAGGAAAAAAGGGAGACTTTCTTGAGGTCCTGCTGATATGCATAGAGTGTCCCCAAACAAGGAGCAAGGACTGCTCAAGTCTCTGCACCCTGTGTTAAAAAAATGCTTTTCCCAGTTATCTTCCAGAAAGGCCTAACCTGAGTAAGTCTCCTGACAGTGTCCCGTAGAAACAGGGAGAACAGTGGTCCTGCAGGGTTCACAAGGGTCCCAAGGGTTCCCTTCATGCATTCACTGCACTGCTGTTGAGTGCCCTCTCTGGCAAGCCCTAAGGAGGGCTCGGGGGAGGCGAGCCCAGAGAAAACAGGCGAAGCCCCCGCTCCTGCCCACAGCAGCCTAGGTGGGGCAGTCGGTAATAGGCAGACTAAACAGAGAGAGATGCTCAATGCCACCTTTTTTTTTTTTTTTTAAGAGGTTTAGGGCACGTGCGCTCGCCAGACAGAGAGAGACAGACAGAAAGCAAGAAATCACCCCCCCAGGGGGGATGGCCACACCGCAATCCCTTCTCCTCTCCTCTGGGGATCTTGGGCTTGCACCAAGCACGCACACGCGCCCGGCGTGAGTTTAAGCCACTGGGTCCGGGACAAACCGCGGTCAACTACATGGGAATCCAGCGATATAGCCATTACGCTAACTGCTGGTCCCCTGGATGCCAAGTTTTAAGGGCTCAGAAAGGAAAGAAAATGGGGAGAAGCACGAGAGAGGGACAGCTATAGCACGCCAGAGTGGGCCCTTTGTTCTGGGACCCCAGGAGGCTGGGTGCTGAAGCAGCCCCGAGTGCGGGGGCAGGGCCTGCTTCCTCTTGGCCGTGGGTATCTGTCCTGTTTCCAACCCCAGGACTCTTCCCCTGTTTTTACAGTTTGTTTCTGTCTTGTGGGTTACCTGCCCTCCCACTTTGGAGTCCCATCATTCCCTGTTTCAGGGAAGCTAATCAGTTTGGGGGTAGGGAGGGCTGGTGATGGGTTAGGGCTGGGCCCTCTGTACATCCTGGAAAGGCCTCACCCCATCACTTACCCGGTACTCTCTCTGGTCCAGATCCAACCCCCATCACACTCCGCACCCAGAGTGTAAATTAGTAGGGATGTTTGAAAGGGCATTTTGGCAGTTAAATGTTCCCTGGCAGGTCCACTCCTGACAAGTAGAAAGCCTGAACCCAGTAAGATTTTGG